ATATATATATATATATATATTTCTCCCCCCCACACGGGATATAAAGTACAGCATAGGGAATATAGTCAATATTGTAATAGTTATATACGATGTCAGAGGGGTAGTAGACTTGGGGCGTTATCAGTTTGTGAGGGGTGTAAATATCTAATCATTATATTGTTTTGTACATCTGAAACTAATAATAAAATTTTAAGAAAGACTCATAGATTTAACTACATACAAAGTTAACCTTTTGAATCGCAAACAAGCACCATAAACAAATGACATAAATCATAAACTGGGGATAATATATGCAACATATTGACAAGAAAAGTTGAATATCCTTATTCTATATTTCAGTTCTTACAACAGAAAAGAAAAATAAAAGATTTACACTCTGAAAGAAAACCGTCTATGGAAATGAACAGGTAATTCAAAAAAGAAGGATGAAGATGAGAAAATATGGAATACCTATATTCTATATTAACAATTATTAACAATTGTTTGGTTGATGTTTCTGGGCCTTCATCAGAGTCATCTGAGATACTTGTTAAAAAGTAGCTTCCTGGGGGGGCGGGAGGAGCAAAAAAATAAATAAATAAATAAATAAATAAAATAAAAAGTAGCTTCCTGGACCTTACCTATTACCTACTGAATCTGGGTGATGAGGTCCAATCCTCTGTATAATAAAAACACCCTAGGTGATTTTTATGGACACTATTTGGGAATCAAAGGTATGACTCAAAAATTTTCCTTCTTTCAATCTGCTTACATACTTTTGTCTCAAAAAAAAATGCACAAAAAACAGAGCTCAGTCTTTTTTTTTTTTTCTTTTTAGTTTCAGGTGTACAAAACAATGTAATAGGTATACATTTCACCCCTCACAAAGTGACAACCCCACTCCTCCACTATATTGCCCCTCTGACATTGTATATATCTATTACACTTCCATTGACTCTATTCCCTATACTATATTCCATATCCTGTGGCTATATATACATATATATATTAAATTATAGTTTACATACAATATTATTCAGCTGCAGCTTCAGGTATACAGTGCAGTGGTCAAGCCTCTACCCCATCCATGAAGTGGTCTCCCTAACAAGACACCCATCTGACACCTTACAAAATATTTACAACATTATTGATTATATTCTCCAAATTGTCTTTCATATCCTGTGGCAATATTGTAGTTACCAATTTATGCTGTCTAATCCCTTCCTCTTCTCTCTCATCTCCACCCCCCTCCCATATGATCTCACTTATATGTGGAATCTACGGAACTGAATAAATGAGCAAAGTAAACAGAGATAGTCTCAGAGATAGAGGAAAAACTGATGGCTGCTAGATGGCAGAGCCCAGTCTTAATGTCACCTCTTCACTCTTATGCTGAGTACAAATTCCTTAGGCAAATTCCTTAACCTCTTAGGCAAATTTCTCAACCTCTTGGAACCTCTGTTTTCTCATTAGTATGATGTGGGTAATAACTACCTTGAAGAAGTGTTTGTAAGAACTAGAGACACTGTAAAGTGCCTGATACTGTGCTTGGCGTATAATAGCTTCCTAATAAATGGTGGTTATTATTATTTTTCATTTAGCTCATATTCTACTTTTAAACAGCAACAATTCTTTTTTTTTTTCCAGGTATGGGGGGAAAGGAAACTGTCCTCTACCCTTAAGGTTCTTTTGGGGCCGGCCGAGTGGTGTGTTGGTTAAGAGCTGGCTTGGGACACCAGAGGGCCCCAGTTCGGATCCCACATATGAGGGCCACTGACGCTGCCCTCTACAGCTAAGATGCTGAACAACAGCTCAACCTGGAGCTGGGCTGCCGTGAGTCGCCCGCGATGGCGTAGGCTGCAGCCCCTGCTGCAGTGGGTTGCTATGGGCTACCGTATGTAGCCAGCAGCCGCAGTGAGCGGCTGTGCAGAAGCCGGTGACTGATCTGCCTCACCCGGGAAGAGCGCAATGATGGTGCCAACTTGGGCCAGTGAAGCAACGTCCTCCACAACTAGACTAAAGAACAAAATGACAGCAACTTGTCTGTTCCCCTTCCCCCAATTCCCCAATAAAAATCTTTAAAAAAAAAAAAGACACACTAGGGAAAATGGCTATGTGACCATAGTGATGCATCTACAACCCAGGAAACACCAAGGATTGCCAGCAACCACCAGAAACTAGGAATAGGCAAGGAAGGATTTTCCCCCTACAGGTTTTAGAGGGACCATGACCCTACAGAGATCATAATTTAGGACTTCTGGCCTCCAGAACTGTGAGAAAACACATTTCTGTCTTTTTATGCCACCCACTTTTTTGGTATTTTGTTACAGCAGCTCTCAAAAAATTAATACAAACCCAAATAGCTCTCAACAGGTGAATGTAAAAAAAACTGTGGTACATCCATACAATAGAATACAACATGGGTGAATCTCAAAGACATAATGTTAAGTAAAAGAAGGTGGTCCCCAGAGGTTACATCCTGTATGATTTCATTTATGTGACATTCTTTTAAAGTGAAGTCAATAGGAACAGAGAACAGATCAGCTTTTGGCCAAGGTTGGGATGGAGCCAGGGTTTGACTACAAAGGGGAAGCATGAGGGAAATTTTTGTAGTTATAGAATTGCAATGTATCCTGACTGTGGCAGTGGTTTCACAATGCATGTGTTAACACTCATAGAACTGTATGTCCAAAGAGGGCTGATTTTATGGTCTGTTAATTTAGGTATCAATATAAAAAATACTTTAGAAGAAATTTTCCATCTGGGTTTCTGCCAGAAAGGCTGCTTTGTGGGGGCTGTGCCACAGGAGCCCTTGTGTTTTGTGAGCCTGTTCTTCCATCTATAAAAGAAAGGGATCTGTCTAGAGCAGTGGCTTTCATAGCCCACCTCAGCCCCACTCCCCCACACCCCAAATTGTATCCCTGGGTACTCCTTTTGTGGAAGTGGGAGTGGGTTGGGTTTGGAGAGAAGGGGCATTCAGACGCCACCAGGCTACTGACCCACAGGTCTGCATCAACTGAAGTAGTCGTACTCTTGTCTCATATATTTTTTCTCTAAGGTCCTCGGGATTAGAATAGCTGCTCCCAAGCCAGAGCCAGGGACCTGGGGAGCTCGAACAATCCTGGATTCCAGTGCCTACTTCTGGGGTCTACTCCTTCGTCCCTTTGGCAAGTTCCCCCATGGACCCTGGTGGATCCTGGGATGCTGACTGTTAATAGTCAGCAATTCTAAACAAGGCCTTTGGTGGTGGTGAGCTGGACTTGTGCTTCTCGCTTCTTGCTTGCACATGGATTAAACACAATGACACAAAAGGAACTTTGAAAAGGCTCTAAATCTAGGCTTCCTCTGAGGTAGGGCCCGAAAGAGCCTTAAACCATTTGTTTTTACAGACAGGTTGAATTTTTGAAAGAGCACTTTGTAGACAACAAAGAGCTGTGCACAGATGGGGAAAATGCCATTGTGGTGGGTGTGCTGACACTCATCCAGCAGGACCAAAGAGTATCATTAATAGCAAGAACTGCCGTTTTCTCCAGGCATGGAACCATTCATGTGCTAGGTCTCATACTAAGGAATCTAAAGACCTCACAACCACCCTGTGAGAGACAGGTTGTCACTGCTTTGACAGATGAGGAAATAGAGGCTCTGAAGAGCCCCAGGTCACAATGGGATGAGGTGTGAGGGATGACAGTGCTGTGTCCTGGCCAGCAGCTCCAGCCTTCCAAGCCAAGGCCCATGAGAGACCCCTGGGGCCTGGTGTCAGGCCTGCTCTCTCTCAGCACTTGCCCTGGAGAGGGGGATGGCCCTTTTCACAAAAGCTGGGGGGAGTCGCCAAGTGCACCTTGGGATCTTGCCATCTAGTACTGCACTTGAAAAAATATTTTTAAACTTTGCATAGTGTAATGGTTTCTTTGAAAACTATTTCATCTGTAAATCCAATCTAAAAAAACCCAGAGCTGGGCCACTATGGTTGAAGGTATGGACAGGGGTAGCCTGAGAGTCCCCCAGGACTCCCAGGGCTCCCAGAGTGCCCCATGAAGGCCACTTATCCAGTAGGTTGGCACTCACTGTGAGAAGTGCTGGGGGTACCATGATGTCTAAGGCTCTGTCTTTGGGGTGGGAAGAACCAGGTGGGGTTCTGGGGAACTCAATCCTGGGTTATTCAGCATTGGGCAGGGCCCAGATTCAGGCCCATCTGAGCTGGGCACCACCTTCCCCACCCTTCTCTCTGGCCAGGCCCTAGCAGCCATGACCAACCACGCACAAGGATCAAAAGCTTTGTCACCATCTTACATTGAGTGGATTTTATTCTTTACAGATAAGGCTCACTAAGCTAAAAACTCCTGCAGCCTTCCTTTTGTGCTTGCCCATCTAAAAGACATCGGATTTTCTTTACTGACCAAAGTTCAGCGTTCATGTTTAGAGTCCAACGTTCATCATCCATAGCAGATGTCAGGGGATGACCCAGATGGCTCATAGCATGCATAGACTTTCTCCTTGTAGATGTCCGGGATCTTACCCGATGGACTATTGACCATGTTCACGGTGTTCTTCTTAAATAACTTGAATTCATACTGGACAAGCTGTTCCCAAAAGCTGTTGTCGGGCCGGATGGCGGGGCGGCACAACTTGGTCCAGGTGTAGGCTTCCAGCAGAGACATGCGGTGGTACTTCATAAGGAAGGCCAGGCAGAGTGTGGTGGAGCGGCTCACACCATCGGTGCAGTGCAGCAGTATGCGGCCCTGTTTCATTTCCACGCTGTGGATGTAATCAGCGATAGGGTCAAAAAAATCGTAGAGGCACCCCCTAGGAGAGTTGGCCACTGGTACCTTTAGGTATTGGATGTTCTCATAATATGTGTTGCTCACCTCCATTGAGACACTGATGATAGCAGTGATGCAGCTATTGGATAACATAAGTTTGTTATTGGATGCTGTGCTATTTCCTATAAACAAGCATTCAGTTATCTGGGAGAGGCCGTCGATGAAGAAGGGCTGCGGCTCAGCCATGGCCGAGAGGGGGCGCTGAGGTGTTGTTATCAAGGCGGCGGGGCAGCAGTCTCCCTGCGCTTGTTTTGGGGCACCACTCCTGCTGGCGTGTTCAGAAAGTCTCTGGCTAGGGTCTGGGGGACAATAGACAGATCACTGATCACCACCCCTCCCTACCCCCAAGCGTCACAATCCCCTACTGCCCAGCCCACTGGTTTCCATGGTAATGGCAGCTTGCCACAGGGAGGTCTTGTCCTCCCAGCCAGCTCTTCAGAGAAACCCCAGATCTCTTTTCTTTTTATCTTTCTCCATAGTTGTTTATTTTCCAAGCCCTAATTCTTATGTCTTTGATGTTTTAAAATGTTCTGTTACCAGATATGTATTTTATGTTTCAATTATTGGACCACATTCCCTTTTCCCCTCTATTTAGATATACAAACACAACATCTATGAAACTTCTATTTTATTGCTGTTGCAGAACAGGGCTTACATTTTTTTCTACAAAGTAGAAGTGTCATATTTTAACTTGGAGAACAGCATTTGGCTCATGTGATATGCTAATCTCCATAAACCTGCAGTGAGATAAAGGTTTGGCTGGGCTTGGTGGGCTGGCCCGATACATCTTTGTTGATTGTACCCACAGAATTATGCTTCTGCTTACAAACACATCAGGACTGGTTTAAAGGGAACATTGCTAACTGGTGTATATATAGCCCTTTATCTACGGTGAAGTTGGTCTGTGGTGGACAGTTGTGACTAATTTAGCTGTGTCACACTCCATTTGTGCATAAGGCCCAAATGATTTATCACTTGATTCTACTTTAATGCCTAAAATAACAGCTCAAATTATCTTGTCTAATTTCTTAAAAAAGAATGCCTAAAGCGGGCCAAGTGGCGCGTTGGTTAGGAGTTGGCTTGGGACGCCAGCTCTGAGCAGCAGGGCCCCGGTTCGGATCCCACATGAGGGACAGTGACTCTGTGCCTCTACAGCTAAGATAGTGAACAACAGCTTGACCTAGAGCTGGGCTGCAGTGAGTCGCCAGCGATGGTGTAGGCTGCAGTGGGGCTGCAGTGGGGCTGCAGTGGGCTGTCATAAGCTACCGTGAGCGGCCAGCAGCCGGCGTGAGCTGCCAAGAGCCGCCGTGAGCGGCCGTCCAGTGACAAGTGACCGATCTGCCTCACCTGGGAAGAGCGCAATGGTAATACCAACATGGACCAGTGAAGCGACATCCTCCACAACTAGACTGAAGAACAAATGGACAACAACTTCTCTGTTCCTCTTCCCCGATTCCCCAATGCTGTTCTCTCCCCCAATTCCCCAATAAAATCTTTTTAACAAAAATAATAAGAATGCCTACATGCTTTGTAAACTACAAGTCACTTTGACTACCACTGAAGGTCTTTCCCGAGTAATGTAAAAATTTTGGAACAAGTCAATGCTACATCATAATTGGGCCAAAAAATAAATTTTAAAAATGCTTCCTGAGATTTGCGCTTCCTCTCAGCTAAGATTTTTGTGGAATTTGACTGAAAATTCTAAAGAACTCTAACCTAAAACAAATTTTTTTGCAGAGCAGCTAATAGACGCGTTACTTCACATTCACTCATCATTTTGGGTTGTGCGCAAAGTTGTACTGTACAATGAGCAAGAATGAAATCGATGCCAGCCTATTTGTGAATGATCCAGGAAATGATAACCTCAAAAAACAACACACTTTTTTCCCCTCAGTTGTCATAATAAGATTATTTTGCATTACTTAAATGGTTATTCCCCACAAATCTATCTGGAAGGAAACAGAAAACAAATAATAAATAGAAAATTGTATATAGGGGAGATCTCAATTGGGCTAAAATTATTTTAAAAGGTTTAGTCCAACATTTGAGATATGGCATCATTGAGGAGCTTTGTAATCCATGGACTAATGTGGAACCCCTAAAAGAGTGTTAGTGTTTAGTTATTTAATAAGTACACTCTTCTTAAATTTTAAAAATGTAGTAAGATTAACCAAAATAATTTCACCCACTATTCTCAAAGACAAGCATGACTTTATTAAATAGATGCATTTATTTATTCTTTCAGCCAATATTCTGTGATGCCCTTTCATCTGAGTGATGTTGGATGTCATGAAACTCCACTATGGGCATTTTCCTGAGTAGATAAGTTGATCTTTCCTCTTCCTGAGTTTGGAAACAGGTCACTTTCAGATTCTCACTTGTCTCTACTTTTTCTTATTATTTAGGGAAGAAGATGTATGAGTGCAAGGGACTTACCCAAGAACACACTCTCTTCCTGCCATTGGGAAAAGACCTTAGATGTAAATAACTAGATAATGTTCAGATTTTTCAATTCAATAATCAAAGCCCTTTCCAATCGGATCAAAGTCTGCCTTTCAAATTTCATTCATTCATTGATTCACCAAATTTTTGTTAAGAATCTGTTGTGTACTAGGCATTTTCACCTATATAAATCTGCAGTTCTCACCAAGCAAATCAAATGTTCTTGGTCGATATAAAATATACATTCCTTGCTTACACCATTTTTTTCTCTTGAGAAATCTTTATCACTCCTGTCTGCTTATTGAAGCTTATCCAAGCTTCAAGACTCAGCTTGATCAATTTTTGAAAAGCATCCACTGAGCATCCGGTTTGTGTCAGGTACAGTTCTAGCATTGTATAAATCCAACACAACACACAGGCCCAGGTATCAAAGAGCTTACAGTTTGGTCAGAGAGATAGATAATTGTGAAAGAGTCCAGAAGAGAGAGTGATTCATTGTTTTTTTTGTGTGTGTGTGTGTGTGTGTGTGTGTGTGTGTGTGTGTGTTTGAGGACTGGGGCTAGTAGGGGAATGCCATAAAAGGCTTCACAGAAAACATGACCTGGAACAAAGCTTTTTGTTCATTTGTTTATTTTTATTATTTATTGTTTATTCTGTCCAAGTTTTTGTTTTGAAAAATTTTAAACCTACAGAAAAGCTGCAAGAATACAACAATGAACACCTGTTTACCCTTCACCTATAACTCCTCTATTGTTAACACTTCACCACCACACTCCCTTTTTTAATTTAAATATACTTGTACAAACACAGATATTTATTTGTTTGCTTTTTTCTTCTTGCTGAACCATTGTTTGTTAATTGCAGATATAACAACACTTTAGCCACGTATCTCCTAAGCACAAGTGCAGTACATTCTCTTATATCACCACAATACAATGACCATACTCTGGACATTTAACATTGACCCAACATTATTATCTAATACAAATCTATATTCAAAACTCACCAATCCTCCCAATAACGTTATTTGTGGATACTTCTGCACCCTCCTCCCTTTGATCCAGGATGGAATTAAGGATGATACATTGCATTTACTTGTCATGCTTCTTTAGTATCTTTTAATTTGGAACAGTGTCCGAGACTTTTGTTTTGTTTTGTTTTGTTTTAGTCTTCCTGACGTTGACGGTTTTGAAGAGTGGAGGCCATTGTTGCAGAACATCTTTCAATCTGAATGTGTTTGATTGTTCCTCTGGGATTAGATTCAGCTGAAATATTTTTGGCAAGAATGCTACCAGAATGTGTCATTCCTAGTACATCTCATTGGGGGCATATGATAATCTGTTTGTCCTATTAATGATGGTGATAATTTTGACCACCCGGTTAAGGTGTCATTAGCTAAGTTTCTACATTGTAAAGGTAACCTTTCCTCTTTTTAACTATTGGGCTGTCAGAAAAGTCATGATGTATTTTTTCTATGTTTTTCGTTGCAAAAATGCGTCATGACTTTTCCGACAACCTAATAATAAGAAATATGTAGGGTGGTACTTTGAGTTTGTGGGAATATCTTTGGAATAGGACTTTGGAATAGGAGTTTTCCAGGCAGATAAGAAGGGGGGAACATTCTAGACAGAAAGGGAGGTATATACAAGGGCAAAATGATGTGAAATGGTGGCAGGAGGGCAGAGAATGACGACTCAGAATTACTAGAATCTACAGAGTGAGGCAGGAGTGTGGCAGGTGGCGTGGGTAGAGGAGCCAGTAGCAGAGATCACAGAGAGCCTTACAGCAGGTAAGGCTTGATTCTGTAGGCTATGGTGGCACACTGGAGTATTTTATGTAGGGAAATGGCATAAGCAGAATTGATTTTTAGGGAGCTCACAAGCTACATGGATGAATTTGTGGAGGGGGTGATGCAATGGGGAGAAAAGCAATACTTGAGGGAGTAAAAGCTATCACAATAGTCTGGGTGAGCAATGATATATCTATTGCAGACCCTTTTCTGACATGGAAGCTGGATCAAATCCAAATATAGTTCATCTCCTCAAGTGTACATATGGGCCAAGCCACATAAGAGAATGGAATATTAAACTTCTTATGGATCAGTGTCTGGAGAGTTTGGTGTATTTGAAAGTAGCCAGGGGGCTGGCTGAGTGGCTTGGGATGCCAGAGAGCCCTGGTTCAGATCCCACATATGAGGACCAGTGACACTGCCCTCTGCAGCTAAGATGGTGAGCAGCAGCTCGACCTGGCTCCTAAGAAAGAGACACTAGTACTAGAGACTCCCCTTTCTCAGGATATGCCATTTCTGGATGTAATACCCAGATCTTGGTAGCCATCTTGCAGCCATGTGGGGTGGCAGCCTGAGGGTAAAGCCAACATCCTGAAGATGGCAGAATAGAGTGGTGGATAGAAGTTGGGTCTTTTATGGTGTTGTCAAGGTTCTTTATCAACCAGCCCCAGAACCCATCTACCTCTAGAATTCTTGTTATGTGTGATGGTAAACTCTCTTACTGTGTAAACATTTTGAGTCAGGATTTTCTGTCACTGACAGCATTCATCTGAAGTAATACAGAAAATCCTGTACGTGGAGATGTCCATGGGTAGACTAAAGGCTGTTGAGAGGAGGACTTGCCTCAGGTTGTAAGTAGCGGAGTTCAGATCCTACTGAAAACCTCAGGCAAGTTGTTTGGTTGATTTAAATTGTTTTGAAATTGTAAATGTATTATAAAATATCATATGTGTTA